CCCCTCCTCTTCCCTCCTCCATCTCTTTGACATAGTGTCTTGCCATGGAGCCTGCTCCTCCTGCCTCAGCCTCCTGTGTGCTAGAATTATAGATGTATACTGCCTGGCTTTTTTATTTCTTTGGTGGTATAGGGGTTTTGCTCATGCTAGGTCAACAGTTTACTCTTATTCTCAGCCTTAAAACATTTACTTTCATTACCAAGTTCTGGAATTCCTGCTTTTTTTTGATTTTTCAAGACAGGGTTTTTCTGTGTAGTTTTGGAGCCTGTCCTGGCACTCGCTCTGTAGATCAGGCTGGCCTTGAACTCACAGAAATCCGCCTGCCTCTGCCTCCCAAGTGCTGGGATTAAAGGCGTGTGCCACCAACACCGGGCTATGCCTTATGTTTTTTATCTTTTTGTGGTGGTGCTTATTGGTTGGGCCCAGTATCACACATGGGAGGCATACACCAAGCTACTACATCCTTAGCCATCCATCATCATCTTTGCTGTTAGGAATGATGAGTTATTTGCTGATTTGTGTTCTAGGCATTGGTGTGACCACATGTTAGTTGGGGGAGACAGGTTATGAGTTGTGCAGAGAGCAGCCTACAAGTGTGTTGGAATAAATAGATGGGATTGTCATTTTCTAAGGAGACCCGGATGTTGAAACAAGAAAGGCAGGTCAGGTTCAGGGCAGGAGCAAAGAGAACAAGTCCAGGAAGGCTTCATCCCACCCACCAGCTGGGGAACTACAGGGATTGGTGGGTCAGAGACCAGGAATCTCAAGTCTTGGCATTGTATGAGTTTTTATAAAACATAGAATTTAAGTAAGAAACACAACAGTTTATTTTCAGAAAGCTTCACAGATACAAAGCAAATATACCCACGAAGTCATTGAGAAATGAGTCATCTTTTTGTTAGACACTTGAAGCCCAAAGAGGAACAACGATGGGGTATTATTGTGAGGGGAGTGGCCTGGAAATGCATCTGCATTTGCCCTGAATGTTTTAGCTTGCCAAGTTAACATAGGCCAAATCACCAAAGAAGTCAAAAGTTTCAACAGTTCCTTAAAATGGCCAACAGTTGCAAAACAGGAGTTCCGAAATGTGTCCAATGGCAGCAACAGTTTTAATAAGTAGCATTAGTCTAAGTGCACAGGTTATTTTGTGTCTATATAAGAGTTTTTAAGAACTGAAGTCAGTTTTTATGATTATAATAAACTGAGGATGTTTATTTTTGATTTACGAGACCTTTCACTATTCAAAAAGCTATAAACCTAAATTATTTTTATAATGCGTATGTTGAAGTTGTAGAAGACTGAGTTAAATCAATATTAATATTTTCCCCATAAAAACTGCTATTAAGCTGGACATTGGTGGCACATGCTCTTAATCCCAACAGGAGGCAGAGGTGGGCTGATCTCTGTGAGTTTGAGACCAGCCTAGTCTACAGAGCAAGTTCCAGGACAGCTGAGGCTGCACAGAGATACCCTGTCATGAAAAATAAAAACAAAACAAAACAAAACAAAAAACCCTAAACAAACAAACTGTTGTTCAACACACATTTTTTTTTTTTTTTTTTTTTTTTAAGACTTGTTTTTGTTTTTGAAACCAGGTCTCACTGTGTAGCTCTGGCTGGTCTGGAAATTGATATGTAAATCATATTGGACTTAAAGAGATCCACCTGCCTCTGCCTCTAAGTGCTGAGATTAAAGGCCTGTGCTGCCATACCCAGCAAAAAGATTTATTCTTAATTATATTCATATAATTAATAATTCATATAATGCATTTTAATTTGTGTATTTTTTTTTAAAGTCTGTATGTATATGGGTATATGCAGGTGTCTTTGGAATCCAGAGTCACTAGAACCCATGGAATTGGAATTACAGGCACCTGTGAGCAGCTTGACTTAGTGCTGGGAACTGAATTTGCATCCTCTGGAAGAGCTGCAGATGTTCTCTCCTAAGCCCCTGCTTTGTTTTGTTTTGTTGTTTTTTTTTTTTTTTTTTTGGCTGGGGTTTCACTGTGTAGCTTTGGAGCCTATCCTTGAACTAGTTAGCTCTTGTAGACCAGGCTGGTCTCAAACTCACAGAGATCCGCCTGCCTCTGCCTCCTGAGTGCTGGGATTAAAATATATACCACCACACCCAGTTGGAGAAGTCCTTTTAAAAAGTTTCCTGGGGCCTGGAGAGATAGATTAGCAATTAAGAGCTGTTGCAGGATATTTGATCACACTGTGAACACTGAGATTGTTAATTAATGGGAAAACCTGTTTCTAGCTGTGGTGTGGCTTAGCCCTAGCACACACCTTTAGTCCAAGAGCTTTCTGCTTGAATAAAATCAACCATAGGTCAAGAGGAGCAAGCAACCAGTTGACAGGAAGTGAATGTAGGATTAAGGGAAAAAAAAAAAAAACAGTAAGAGGGAGTCAGGAGGATAGATAGGGAGACGAACAGGAAGTAGAAGGGAGGGACCTTCAGTTTAAAGAATTATTTTGAGATGGTATAGGAGAAGGGAGAGGTTTCTGGGATATCGGATGAGGAGGAAGGTCAGTTGGGTGCTCTCTCTGAGCTAGCAGGCTTTCACCTCAGTATCTGGCTCCTGAGTCTTTATTGGTGAAATTGAATATTTTGTTAATATTTCCATTGGATGCTCTTCCAGAGGTCCTGAGTTCAATTCCCAGCACCCACATGGTGGCTCACAACCATCTGTAACTCCAGTTCCAGGGAATCTGACTCCTCTTCTGACTTCTGTGGAGACCAGACACGCAAGTGGTGCCCAGGCATACATGCAAACAAAGCACTCTTACACATGAGAATAGATTTAAAAATTGAGTGGTTTGGCAAGATGACTTAGTGGGTAAAGGTTCTTGGCCTTCCTAGCCTGATGACCAGAGCTTCATCTAGAACACATATAAAGATGGAAGGAGAGAGTAGACTCCACAAATTGTCTTCTGACCTACACACACACACACACACACACACACACACACACACACACACACACACAGACACACAAGAATTTTTTTTTTTTTTTTTGAGGAAAAATTGAGTGGTTTACTAACTTAGCTGTGTCTCAAAGGGCTACATGGCCCATATGGGCTTTAGAAGATGTCAAGCTGAATGGACCCTACGCAGTGTTCAAGGTCTGGTTTCTCTCCTTGAGAATATCTTGGGACTTCTGGTAGTATCAGTGGGCAGGTCAAGCGGAGCTCCAGGGATGTGCAGGGCTGTGGGATATCTGTGCAAATATGGTCAGGGAGAACGGGGTTCTGTGCTGTTTGTGCCCATGGCCAGTCTCAGGAACAGATCAGAGTAAACAGCCAGTGGATGAAATGGTCCAGGCATCAGGCTGAACAGGAAGTTGTTATCGTGGACTCTCGAGACATCGTGACATTGAGAAGAATGTGCCTAGCGACGCCCGCCCACTGCTGTCCATGCTGCTCAGTCCCACTCAGGACCAGCCTCTCTCTAGCACATGGAAATTTTTGGTTTTTTTGGGCATTTTTGTTTTGTTTTTATTTTTTTGAGACAGGGTTTCTCTATGTAGCTTTGGAGCCTATCCTGGCACTCGCTCTGGAGACCAGGCTGGCCTCGAACTCACAGAGATTCTCCTGCCTCTGCCTTCCGAGTGCTGGGATTAAAGGTGTGTGCCACCACTGCCCGGCTAACACATGGACTTTTTTTTTTTAATTTTCATCTTCTTTTTACATTTGTTTTGTGATTTTTTTTTTAAAGATCTTATTTATTTAGTATACAGTGTTCTGCCTGCACGGCAGAAGAGGGCACCAGATCTCATTACAGATGGTTGTGAGCCACCATGTGGTTGCTGGGAATTGAACTCAGGATCTCCGGAAGAGCAGTCCGCTGAGCCATCTCTCCAGCCCAACACATGGAATTTTTAAAAACATATTGTATTCGTTTTTTGTTTGTCAAAAAAAAAAAAATTCACATCAAGAAAATTAAAGCCCAGATAATCTGGGAGGAAACGTTTGTCCTGAGTAGGTTATGTTAGTGGCTTTTCTTCTTCTAGTAACAAATACCCGATAAAAGCAATTTAAGAGAGGAAGGGTTTACTGAGAGTGTAGTCCACCATGGTGGTTAAAGCATGGCATTAGGAGCTTGAAACAGCTGGTCACCTTGCAGTCCACAGTAAGGAAGCAGAGACAGCTAAATGCTGGTGTCTGCTGGCTTGTTTCTTTTCCTTCAGTGGGGGACCCTGGCCCATGGGCTGATTCAGCCCATGTGTAATGAGTGTCTTCCTGTATCAATTAACTCCACTACAGATTTCCTTCAGAAATGTCTAGAGGCTTGACTGAGAGTTGAATGTAGATCCCGTCACTGTGACAATCAATATTGACTACCACAGAGGTCAAATAAAAGGCTGAGATCATAAATCCATTAGTAGCTCTTAGAGTTGATTAATAAAAAATGAAATATCCCCTCTCAAAGGATAAAGGGTTTTATAAGACATTTGTAGAAGAAATGAATGGTCAACAAAAAGGCCCTTGAGTAACAGAGGAAGTATCATTTAAGATAGTAATAAGATTTTGAAGTTTCAAAAGTCCTTGTGGTAGGTGAACTCCCGTGCAGGGCTAGAGAGCTACCTACTTTGAGCTACAATTTTTTTTTTTTTTTTGGTTTTTTTTTTTGAGACAGGGTTTTCTGTATAGCTTTGGAGCCTATCCTGGCACTTGCTCTGGAGACCAGGCTGGCCTCAAACTCACAGAGATCCGCCTGCCTCTGCCTCCTGAGTGCTGGGATTAAAGGCCCGGCGAGCTACTACTTTGAGCAGAGCATTTTGGGAATATATGCCAAACATCATAAAAGTACTCATATTTTTATTCATTAGTTATAAGAATTTTTTCCACTTAAAAGTATTTTCATAATCTTCATTTTACCTCAGGATTTCTTTAATTGTTTATGGTTTTTCTTTCATTTGGACAGTAATGTATTCTGTAATGGTGTGTGTAGCTATTCAGAATGCCCTGTTTTTACAAAGCATTTCTTTGTAATTTCAGTCCTACAAGATTATTAATTTTGCCCCCAGCTTGCTTCGGATCATAGTCTCCGACCAGGTGGAGTTCCCAGTTCGTCAGGCAGGTAAGTCGCCTTTTCAAGTTAATGAGAGTTCTGCCTTAAATCTAAATAGTTATAATGCACTGTACCAGACCTGTTCAACGAAAAATTTAATAATTAAAAAAACACTTGTACAAGATCATGACAATTAAAATTCCAGCATAGATCCAGGAATGACCCCTAAAGCCCCGCCCCTATGGGCAAGTTTGATGGCAGTTGATGGTTGCTGGAGGAGAGAGTCACTCTCCTTTGGGGATATGTGGTTGCCTCAGTGAATGGCCACACACCCATGTTCATAGGGCATCACCAATGTGACTCAGGGCTACTAACTATAGCAACAGAAAATAACGAGGCAATGACAATGGGAAGAAGATGTCATCTCAGTCACTAGGGGAGTTGAGGGAAGGTAATGGTGGATGGATATGACCAGTATTCATTATCCATAATCGGATTTTTTTCCGTCAGGGACCATCCGCTCCCCTGTAACGACATGGAGCCTTACTACTAATTATGAAAGCTCAACTGATAGCTTAGGCTTGACTTAAATTAACCCGTATCTTTTAATCTGTGTTCTTTTATGTGGCTTGGTTACCTTTATGCTGAACTGCCTATTATGCTTCCTCTCTGCCTGGCTGGTGACTCCACCCTTCTTCCCAGTGTCCTCCGTGCCCGGAAATCGGTCATTCACCTTTTTATTAGACCAATCAAAGTGGCACATCTTCACAGTGTACAAAAAGATTATTCCACAACATTTCCCCCCTTTGTCTAAATAAAAAGGAAAGGTTTTAACTCTTACACAGTAACACTATATACAATAAGAACAATTATCAGGTAAGAATTACATTTGTAATATCTAGTGCATTTGTATTTGGCAGATTCAGAGAGAGTACTGTATTAATTATCTAAATGTATGGAACATTCAAGTAATAAAAAATAATTAAAAAATAAAAATCTTTTGAAAAATTTGGAAGAAACACTTCTAAGACATAAAAATATTTTCTTGCTGGGCAGTGGTGGCGCTGCCTTTAGTCCCAGCACTTGGGAGGCAGAGGCAGGTGGATCTCTGTGAGTTTGAGGCCATCCTGGTCTACAGAGTGAGTTTCAGGACAGCCAGAGCTATATAGAGAAACCCTGTCTCGAAAAAACCAAAAAAATTTTTTTTTCTTTTCTCTTGGAAAGTTAGCAGTAGATACTGAGTTCTCACATTTACCCTAGGTGATTTTTTTTTGTTGTTGTTGTTATTTTAATCTCTTTGCTGCCATCCGTCAGTTCCTTGCCTCTGTAACATTGCTGTTTTACATTTTAATTTCCCAATTTTAGTAATTTATGATCCCTTCATATTACCTTAGGTCACCTATATTAAGACTGCAGATTTATTTATCTGAATTCTAGCAGCAATAGTGTCAAGTCACATAGAGACTTCTTATTAATTATGAAAGTGTGGCTGATAGCTCAGGCTTGTTTCTAACTAGTTCTTATAACTTAATCTGTATCTTTAAGTCTATGTTTATTTATTTATTTATTTATTTATTTATTATGTATACAAAATTCTGCTTCCATGTATATATGCACACCAGGAGAGGGCACCAGATCTCATAACGGATGGTTGTGAGCCACCATGTGGTTTCTGGGAATTGAACTCAGGACCTCTGGAAGAGCAGACAGTGCTCTTAACCTCTGAGCCATCTCTCCAACCCTGGTCTATGTTTCTTTATGTGACTTGGTTACCTTTAATGCCATGTGGCTTGCTCTGTGTCCCTGGCCTCTTTTCACAACTCCTCCCTTTTTCTTCCCAGCATCCTCTGTGCCTGGAAATCCTGCCTAGCTATTGGCTATTCAGCTTTTTATTAAACCAATACGAGTGACACATTTTCACAGTGCACAGTAAGATTATTCCACAACAATTCCTCGAAGTCGCCGTGTTTGTGCTCAGTCTGAAGACATATATATGGTTTCCAGGTCATTTCTGTGTCATTTAGGATGTCCTCCAGCTTGGTGTAATGCTCCTGCTTTGACTCCCACGAGACACTCTTGAGCTCTTCGCATTTCCCTTTCCCAAGTTGGCCCTTTGTACCTCTAAGGGTTTTCATCCCTGTTGGGCGTGGCATCCCACATGGAAGGCTGTTCAGTCCTTGTGCTCCGTGTGATTGAGTTGACGTGATCTTCCTGATTCCAGCATATCTGTTCTTCTCTTAAACTCAGCTGCCATCTACCTGAAGAATATGGTGACACAGTACTGGCCAGACAGGGAGCCTCCACCAGGAGAAGCGATATTTCCATTTAATATCCATGAGAATGACCGACAGCAAATTCGTGACAGCATTGTGGAGGGGATAATTCGATCTCCGGATCTGGTGAGGTAGGCCATGCCCTGTCTATGTGATTTGAGGAGGCAGCTGGCCTTGACTGGGACTGACAATTGGGTGTAATCTTCAGCTTTGTGTGTGTGTGTGTGTGTGTGTGTGTGTGTGTG